GAGGTGGTAATATATAAAAGAAAGATTACACATAAAAACATAGTACAGCAAGAAAGAATTAGTTCGTAGAAAGAAAGATATGAATCAATCTTAATCTTTTAGTTTAAGGAAAGACAGAGAGTGTATACACCGACGCCATTGCGATCGATTCTGAACTACGTCACCAAGAGTCTCCAACCATTGGTTACGATAGTCACGCGGACCCCAACCAAGTAGTCTGCATCTCCCAACATGACTCAGACTAGAAATTAGTGACTTTAAGCACTGATGCCACGTTTTGGTTTGGCCGCCCCTAACCGACCGTTGTTGCTACCTTGATTTGGTGATCAGGCTTACCTATCGTGATGAACTAGTCAAGCTATACTGGCTTGAACAATCGTTCCTCAAGATCCCACTATGCTAGACACGTCGGTTAATGAGCGGTAAGACTGAAAGCAGCAAACCCAAGGTCTGAGGGCGAAGTCGTACTACTGACTGTACAGAGGTGTGACAGCAGTAAGGTGTTTCCTTCAGACAACCAACATCACAGCGATGCTGCCTTCCCACAAGGAGGGGTGGGGCCAGAAATGGTCGACCCTAAAGATGCACACCTCACCTTATCCCACGGATACCCGTCTCCGGCGGTAAGGTCTCAACAAGTACGGAGCTAACACAAAAATTACCCATAAAAAGGTCGTGTGTGACCGACCTCAAGTAGTTGTCCCTCGAGCACTACGGTCACGCTCTCAGGTCACTAAGACCACCTCTAATTCAGTTTGCTTTTCAGGTACCTCTAGAAGAACCCTTCCACGATGTGGGCAACCGAGAAGTGATAACCACCCTCATACCTCTAACAGCACTCAAGACCACTGTATTCATAATCAACCTCCCCTCTTCAATTCCGTGGAACTGCATATCCTGACGTTGCTTCACTGCCTTGTGGATCATACCTTTAGGTCGAAGGCTCCGGATGTGGCCCCCTAAAAAGCCATCTGCTTCGGTCTGGGCAGCCGGACAGTATCCGAGCCCACACACAAATCAAGTGAGTTGTGTGACGTGTATGTATTCGGTGCCCCTTTGTACCAATATTTGTGTTCGAATAAATAATACGTCGAACAACGTCGGTGGGTTGTTGCAGTAACTTTTTTGAGATTTGATAGGCTGTATACTGCAATGCAGAACATATCGTCCGGTGTTTCTGACTTCAGTACCAACATGAAGCAGCTACTGGCGAAGTCAGGTGAGCGTGAACATCCACGGAAATTCGAGTGCGGACTGTCAGGTCAACAGTTCCTTTTATCATTTGAAGAGAAACTGGGGATGTTGGACGCTTTTCTTCAGCAGAAAGACATGAAGGACAGATTTATAAGTCAACAAAATAAATTTGATCATTTGTGTGTATTATAGATGTGCATAATGACGCGATTAACGGGTGATAATCCTAAAACGTCAATGCGATATATTTTGTCGTACATCATGACACCTGAAATTGCCAGTCATTTCACGCTACTTGGCTCTTCATCGAAAAGAGCACTTCAGAAGTGCAGGTTTTAGGCTGCATACGAAGTAAGATATTTTTTCAACTCCACGTGCGTTGGCTGATCGTTTCCTGTCATCAACTGTCAACGAAAAAGACCTTGCGAAACTGTACGACATCACGACGCAAGGTTATTTTCATGACATGAGAGACAAATTACAAAAGCGTCATCGGAGATAACAAGAACATTTGTGTGCTCATTTAAAATGATAAATATTCTCTACCATTCTATAGATATAGTTAACGAACATAAGCGTAAGTGAAGTTTCACGTAGCTAGTTGTGTAAAAAAATGTCATCTAAATATCGTCGTAACGTTTTTTGTTCCTTACATTTCACAATATTATTTCGATTCTCAACAGTCGAACAGGCGTTACGATAAGAAATAGCCAGTGGAATATTTATAATGTTCAACTTCTTTCCAATAAACATTTTTAAACATGCGCTTACTTCCTAACTTGCATGGGAAACTCTTTGACTAAGTGTTGAGAAAGCCTGTTTGATTTTAAATGCACTTGCATGTGAGACTCGAATTTATGGACGACGATGAACGAATCTTATGTGACCTTGATAAATATTAGCAGGTCAGCTAACAGTAGGTACAGAATAAAATATATTATACAAAAACAAAGAAATAAAGTGGACACACTCCTTATATATGGTTCATAAATTTCTCAAGGTTAGGAAGGGGTTCAGAGGTTATAAAGTCGTAATGCATGTAGTCGAGGAAATCATAGGACTTTCTCTACGTATGGATATCTATACAGCTACAGAATAGTCGGCCTCTGGAGCCATGACAAAGTCTCAAAAACTCCTTCAACCTCACCCACATAGCTCCAATATTGTTTGTGTGCACTTCGGTTGTTAAGTACAGAAAATGCCACTTGTGGATAACGACACGATGCACATAATCAAGCCTATGTAGGGATCTGTACGCTCTCCAGACATTCGTATAAATTGTAGTACCTCGTTGCAGCTAGTGTTACTGGTGATTTTAATATACAGTTCGCAATAATTGTCATGATTTGCCTTAGTTAGGGATTATATATGAGGTTTTCATCATGAACTGACATCTGCTATGATGCCAGAAACCTATTTAGCCGAATGGACGAAGAGCTTTCGCGCCAAAATCCGAGATCTGTTAGCTTATACTTGATTGATTCGTCCACAAATTATAGTCTCGCTTTTTTATTTGTTATAGCCGCTCAATTATCACGTTATGTACAAAATACCCTGTGAACCGACCGTACCGTTACAGCGTCATGAACTGACATTGGCGCCGCGACCTTGAAATCTCAAATGGTTCAAATGGTTGTGGACGGAATAGAAGAAGCTTTCGCTTAACAGGCTTCCGTGTCTAGTAGCAGGGGATCACCAAATCCTCCAGGCAGGAACCTAGGTATGTTAACAATAAAAGAGGAAAAGAAATTGGTAAATCATAGTGTGATGCTGTCCTTGGTTCTTAAGAATAGGTCAAGTTGCCTCTTGAAGGACTCCTGAGAAGTCGCTTGGACTAGTCGGCCGGCAGCGAATTCCAGCTTTTGACAACTCTTAAGGAGTAGAAGTTGTGTCTCACAGACACTTCTGATTGACTCGTCCATACATTAGAGTCTTGCCATATATTTAACAATTACAAGTAAAATACGTAACGATTGATGCTCTTGTATCTGCCAACTAGTCATAACGCTGTACAATATTACGTCGATTGCAGCTTTCGTGAGTTGTGTTGCGTAAATGAAGGAGAACACAGGAGACGTTCTGGGTTATATCAAATGTGTTTTAAAAGTGAAAGAAAAATAAGATAAATCAATGTGTTTAGGCGAAAAGTATATAATTCAGCGATGTCTGAAAAAGAACGATTTAAAATGCGAAAATCCGCATTATTTCCCGCGGACAGGCGAAAAAGCATACATTTTGTCGCGTTTCCCCGTTATTTTTCCTTTGTTCGCCTTTATTTCCTTTTTGTTGGCTAATTGAACGCAAGTCTTACCTCCTATAACATAACAAACGTGTTAAACAGATCCTGCAAAAATCTTTGAACGTTACTGTAATTCAGGATTCAGTTGACGAGAATTCCTAATCACAATGACAGTGGAGTTGCTTAACTTTGGTACCAACCCCTTGAGGTTGTTTGTGTTGTAGTTGAGTTTTTAGATTTCTTTATTTTTACACAACTGGGAATTTTTACTCATATTCTCTATTGTGATAGGCGAATCCACGGGGCCCGATGAACTGCATCTTAGGCTACTAAAGGATTTAGCTTACTTCATTGCTTTAATCTTTCCGTAACTCAGGGTCGTTTATCAAAAGACTGGAAGAACGCCATGGCAAGTCCTGTCTTCAAAACAGATACGAAACACAAACCTAAGAGTTACCGACTCGTTGTCTATCTAGGGTGGTTGTCAAAATTATAGAAACTTTTATTCAGAAGGAGCTTTTTAGGTATCTCGATGAGAACCAGATCCTTTCGGAAAAGTAGAAAGATTTAAGAGTATGTTGTTCCTGTCTCAGTAACTTGTTAGTGGCTCATGGAAGCTGGTGCGCTCTTAAGGACCTAAAGTACCTATAGACGAAGACCATGTTGACTTCAGCTAAGCTTTTTACGAAGTTCATAACAACCAGCTGTTATATAAAATGAGAAATGTCAGAGGTGGCGGTAATCTATTAATGTGGATACAAGAATTCATAGTCGGGCTCCAACAAAAAGTACGGGTGAACTTCAGGTTGTCTAGCTTGGAAACTGTGCTTAGCGGGCTGCCTCAGGGTAGAGCTTTGGGGCCAGTGTTATCCCTGTTATTTGTAAATGATCTTCCACTTCTCCTATCACCATTGGTCTTGCCATATGCTGACGATACCAATATATTGAGAGCGATAGAATGTGAAGATGGTAGCTTAGAACTTCAAAATGACCTGGAGAAGTTATCCGAATGTTCTCAAACTTAGCGGTTGCCGATTAATACTTTGAAGTGTATTGTGATATATATTAGTTACGAAAGTACAGATACATATACGATGATAACATTGAGCTATCTGTTGTCCAGATACACAGTGACGCAATAACCGTCGTTAGCCAATACTTAAAAACTACTGCACATTGTCGTGCAACAGCCATCAAAGGTTTTAGAACTCTATGGTCAATACGTAGAGCCTATGGCCATGTCGATGCTAAAACCTTTTTGACATTGTGCACAGCTTTCGTTCATCTTAAACTTCAGTACTGAATACAAGTGGCTAGTCTCTGCCAAAAAAGACTGACTTTTTGGAAAACATTCAGAGAACAGCAACCAAACTAATTCCCAAAATGGCGAAACTCGATTGGCCAAACTAAACTTATTCACGTTGTCATATAGAATAAATAGAGGTGACTTGGTTACAGTTTAAAAACAACCTAGTGATGAATTTGCACCCGGTACGCCCCTATTTATTGTCTTCCAAAACAGAAAAACTTCGAAGACACTCCTAAAAAGTTCACAATCGTAGTGAAGATGCCACAGGTAATCGAAGTTTGACAACGCTTTAAGCAGTAACACTTAATATGAATCGTACCCGTCAAGTGAAATCAAAAGACAGAAGTGAGGGGGTTCGAAGATATATTTGATAGGCTATCAATATATCGAGGATCGTCTGATCTAATCTGGGTAACGATTGCAGGGGTTGTTTAGCATGGCGTTCCCACTTAAGATCTGGTGCGGATAGATGGCGGAGCGCCTTCAGCTAGGTGAGTCCATTAAAACTAATGTGTTCAGCATCCAATGTCGAAAGTATACAGAGCTATTTATTTTGGGGATTTATTTACCGATATAGCAGAACAAATTACTTGGTTGAAGCTCCATCTGTTGACTCTTTCAAAAGAAAGTTGAATCAACTGAGAGACCATCATTTTCAAGACTAACACAGGCCAACAAACCTTCTGTCCCTTCAAAACCGAAACTGAAGATATCGGGTATTAGACAAATTTCGGAGCTATCAAAAAATATAAGAACGTCAACAAGAGTACGGGTTCCACTCCATAAAGAGACGATAAAAATTCGTGAGATATATAACGATTTTTCGTGCATATGGTTTAACACCAGCATCTTTAAGTCTGAGAAGTAACTAGTACAAGGTCGTGGCGCACATATCAAAATAGCAAGCAGAACTTGGGTCTGGCTGTTTTCTCCTTTACATCATACGAGTTAATAAGTTTGGTTACTTCGAACTATGAGCATTATTTGAGATTCAGATAAATTAATTGTCCAACAATAGAGAATAAGCTGTACAAGATGGAGATGTAAATGTAGTTTAGAATTACATTTTAACAGGCTTTTATAAGTTCATGTACAGATAATTCTAGGATATTTTGAGGTAATCTTCACCATGTGGTCTAACGAAATTCTACTATGTTCAGGAAGAGAAGATGTGTTGGCTGAACCCATTAGATCATGATTACGATTAATCGTAAAACTAAGATTGAGTAAATTGGTAGAAAAACATTGGTTGTCAAGACAGGTGAAGGCGAACCACTGACTTCTAATGTTCAATTTTAAGCTTCGCAGTTGGTTTGGCTTCACTGAACCTCAATACTGTAGATGATGGCTGTTCGTTGATTTTTTTGGAGTGGATTCACTGCACTCACCTAATATCTGTTCTAATTTGTTTCCATGGTACTGAACTAAGAGAAGTTATTGTCATTGCATGGTGAAGAATACCTCGAAATGTCCTAAAAGTTATCTGTACATGAACTTATAATAGCCTTTTAAAATGTGATTCTTAACTACATTTACATCTCTATCTTGTACAGCTTATTCTCTATTGTTGGACAATTAATTTATCTGAATCTCAAATAATGCTCATAGTTCGAAGTATCCAAATTTATTAACTCGTATGGTGTAAAGGGAAAACAGCAAGATCCAGTGAATCTACCACATTCTGTAACTTATGTCGCTCTTGCTTTATTAGATTTTGTAAGGCAAGCCGTCTAAGTGAAATAATTAAGTCAATAATTTTACTGAGAAGTCGTTCGTTGGTTTCATAATGAATTCTTACGGTTCAAGGAACTTGTTGACTTATTTAAATAGCAGTGGGTTGTTGGGACTGTGATTTTGTCATATGATTAAATTAAAGGCATCCGGAGTTTGTGTTGGTGTTCAAATGCGATTTAAATATCTTTACTAACTCGACATTGTGGTGTCTGAAATTGAGAATTTGAAGTAGGAGGACTTAGAAGTAACTGGAGTTAGTAATGCGTACTCAGAATATTGTTTTTATGAAATACTTATGTACACCTATTATGTTTTGTAAGATTTGACTCGGTGGATAGTAGGAGGGAACTAATATCAATCTTTTTAAGCTCTAATCATCGTATTATTAAGAAAACTGATTATAAGGGGCTTTGTTGTATTTAAATTTTAATGTGTAACTTTATTATTTCAAGTTTCAGTTATATCCAGATGTATTTCTTAATTGAAGGGAAGTAGTGTACATATATTCTCAGGACTTCAACTTCGGTTGCTTGATTTAACACGGCAGGTCCCCGATCACTTTTACCACTCGTAAGTAGGGAAGCCGAACCTAATCGAACATTGTTTATTAATGTTAGGCATATAGTTATAAATAAGGTAATTGTTCCGGTTAATTGAATAGGACTGAGATAATTGGAAAGTTGTATATATGTTTTCCCACCTCGTCGTTCCATAGTAACTGTAGTGCATACGAGATAGTAAAAGCATCACGAGAATCAAATAAAAGCGTACAATCAGTTTCTTCGTCCAAGTTGTACTGGAGGAGAGGGTGCTATGTATTTAATGTGACTCAGGGTTTAGAACCAAAAACATGTACAAGATCACTTAGTTTCTATAAAGCTGTCATTCCATGATTAGGTTTAATATTAAAGCCGACAATTTCCGTAAATGATTTATCTTTGTAAGGCTTCACTGATTGGATAGTATTATTTTTCCTTACACATCGACTAAAAGTCATTGTCATATGTAGCCATTAATCTATCTTTGTTACATTTATATTTGTTACAATAATTGCCACTTGTTTTTGTATCCTTTGATCAATTTTTTTGCTTCAGTCCATTCACCTCCCCCCTCTGCCATCTCTCCGTGAAATCATCCATGTTTATGGTATTCGAGCTCAGAAACAGTTATCTCAAAACTTTCTTTTACAATCATCATCTATAAATGGACTAGTCAAATGTGCAGGGAACCTTCGTGGTGCATATGTTCTTGAAGTTGGTCCAGGTCCTGGCGGGATTACTCGGGCGATTCTTCAGAAAGCTCCACGTTATGTTGCCGTCGTGGAACTAGATAGAAGATTTATTCCTGGTCTTCAGGAATTACGGCTTGCTGCTTTCGAAATGGGGATCCAAATGGATATATACAGACAGGTATCTTTATTGCTCGATATATGCAGGTGATTGTCATTATTCTAGTTTTTAGTTATTATGCTTCCAAACTTTCTTCACTTATTCTTACTTCGTTCTACATGTTTAACAATAGATATCCAACTGATACCTCCTACACCAACGTATATGTACCACTTCAATACATAGATGTTTTCACTAAATAATGCATTAGGCAAAACGGAACGAAAATCCAATGAAGACGCATTATTAGGAAGTAAACTAATTGGTTGACGTATAAATCAAGATAATGAAGATTTTAAAGTACATCCTAATGCCTACATTAGGGAAAAAATCATTGGGTTTGCCTTTGAGGTTTTGGTTGTGAATCACGTTTGATAATGTCTTAAGGCACTAAGATGCATAATCCCTGTGACCATTAATAAGATCATGAGAGACCCAAATATGCCAATTCAATACAACACTGTCAGCACCCGACATCATCTTTCTGACGATCAAATCCCTCCCTTACTTCTTAATAGTTCTTCCATTCCTTTGGCTAACCTGTCTCGCATATCTTTATCACGACGCTTCACCAATGCTGATAATTTGAGTCCACGATATATTATCCCTGGTCTCCGAGACCATGCTTCGAACATTGTTTTAAATAGGAAAATAGGCTTATTTAGCCAGGACTCTAGAATCTCGCGCTATCGATATTTACTACATCTCTTAAACGCGCATACAGGATCCAAGTAGTCATTCACTTGACCTGACTTTGTTAATATAAAGAGCCGGCACGACTTACTCTTGGAGTACATGGAGACTCCACTGATACTTCCCGTGGCCTCTTTGGTACATGTATATCACTAAGTTTTGAAGTAGAATAGGGTTTGTTAGACTGAATTCCAATAGACTCGCTTTTGCGCTGTTCGATTCAACAGAACAGTAGAAACTCGAAAATATAGGGACACATGCTGTTGCCTTTTCATTGTCTCTGTCTACGCTCCCATTGATTGCAACTCGGACGAAGTTAGAGATGAGTTTCATAGGAAGTTATCGGACCTCCTAAAAGCCGAACGCTCTGATGTAGTAATAATGAAAGGCGATTTTAATGCTCATGTAGGCAAACTAAACCAAATTTAAATGGACCTAGGCAGATCTTCCAGTGTTGCGGCTCAGAGAACAGATAGTGACGATCGTCTGTCACAACTATGCTCAGATAATCTATTTCTGGTAAACACTAACTTTTGACATAAGGAGAAACATCGTTTGTTGTGGTGACCCCCAAAATCGACTCGTCGATGGACTCAAATAGATCACATTGCCATTGGTGATCGTTGAAGGGGTTCGATAGATGACTATCGCTCATTGTGGAGCACATGTTTAGACTCGGATCATTCTCTAGTTCAAGGATGTATTTGTTTGAATCTTACTGGACGTAAAAAATCCACACCAAGTAAACCCTTTAGAGTTCAACTTAATAATGAAAAAGTTAAAAATATATTTCAGGGACAACTATTGGAGTTAATCAGCGGTGAAAGCGATATCCATCCTAAGGTAGCTTGTCATGGTATCCAAGAAGCTGTGGAAACAGCAGTGATATCTACCAGTAACTTAAATCAAAAGGTCAAGGGAAATAGGTGGATTTCAACGGCGTCTATAAAACTGATAAATGTTCACATCAGGGAGCAGTTCAACTAGCTTTCAACCACACTTCAATTACACATTATTTCCAAGCAACTTGAATGCCAAACTGATGTGAGTCTTGCGAATCTTGGTGGGGCTGGAAAGGATGTAAGCAATCTAGAACGAGGCAGAGCACCAGGGCCTGATGGACTAATTCCTGAAAATTTTAAGTATGGTGGTTCAGCTTTGTCAGTTAGATTAGCTGAAATCTTGGCTAAAATTTCAAAACGAGATGTAATCCTATCTGACTGGTCTCAATCACCGATCGTCCCAGTCTATAAGAAAGGAGAAAAATTTACAAAGGAATTAGTTTCACCAAGTGTGTTTGAAATATTAGCCTTAATAATACTTAGACGTCCAACTTCAGCTCATGAGGACCAAGTTCGAGAAGATCATGCTAGTTTTAGACCTGGATGTGGATGTATAGACCAAAAATCACACCCCTGTAGGTTCTGGAACATAGACATACTTTACGACATCCGACTACAATTGTATTCTTTAACCTGAAGGCGGTGTCTAACTCCGTTTACTGCGAGGTTCTGTGGCAGTATTTGTCAATGAAAGGCCTACCAAAGAAATACGTTAACGTTGTATAGGCTCTCTGCTGGAACACCACTGGCGAAATCTCCGTCCCAACCAAAGGACGAGTTTACTGCACACCAGTTCGCTCCGTTTCACTTTGTGAATGTGAAATACGGCCACTAAGAACAGAGGACATCCATAAGTTACTGGTATTCGGTCATAGGTATCTTGGAAGCATTGCTCGTGTATTTTGGGATCACGAAGTCAGCGATGATTGGGTTAGGAACAGAGTACTAGGTAAGGATAGGAAATCGACTGATGAGGTAGTAAATCTTCATCAACTGAGGTATTTGGACATCTGCTACGTATCTTAACGTGCTATGTTTTCTGTTGCAGGAGTAAGCTGGAAGAAAGCTATGGGTGGCCAAACCAAAACATAGCGTCAGTTCATGAAGTCGCTGACAATCTGACTTGGCCTTGTTATTAGGTATAAACTACCTGGTTAGGGTTTGCGTGTCTATCATAACCAATGGCTAGAGACTTTGAATGACATTGCTCGAGATCGTTTGCAATGGCGCATGTATATCCGTTCTTTGTCTTCCTCCATGTTCTGAAATTCTAAAGTCTCTCGTAACTCTTTTTTGTCTTTATTTCACTAATATATATATATTCCTATCGATTGGCATATTCGATACCTAATCTTTTCTACTACAACTGATTCTGTTACTACTACTATTCTGGGATTCGGTCTGACGATTTCATCTGTCTGTGCTAGTGGGGTATCGTAACTTGAATTGACGTACGTACGTACCACGTTCTGCGCTGTGATTGACGGGCTGATCCCAATTTTCGCACGCACCTCATGCTCGGATTGACAAATTTTTTCGAGTGGTCCACTATTTTTAGTTGCTTCTCTGAATCCAACACCCTGATTGTCCATTATAGGTAAAGTGAGTAACCCACTCGTTTACCATGGGCTATCACAATACCATTCAATCGGATACCACACAAGCGAGTGTCGATTGGAACACACTTTAAAGTGCATTCATTGCTTGAAATTATGATGTTGCATTTAGATGTGCTCAATATATAAATCTTTCTGTAGAATCTCAAGTATGCGGGGTAAATTGTTTGCGTTAAGTTGGTATGCCGAAGGAATATTCAAAACCTTACCCCCTGTGTTTAATCAGATCTAGACGATTCATGCTATCAAGTTCAACATAATTGTTCCTTTGGTTAATATTCTAGTGAACGACAAGTATGAATTCATATATGCGCACCTTCAACATATTGGACAGTTTGAACCCGTGGTTAAATTCATCAACATTCATTACTGATTACAAACACAGCTTTACCAACATTTCTATCGGGATATCCAAGTACAGTACAGCAAGGTTGCTTTTTCCATCTAAGTCCACTGTACATGGGGAAGACTACAGCGATCAACAATGTTATGCGGCAGATAGAAATTTTAATTTGCAGGCTCGTTATTCGGGCACATTAGCTTTCGTACTGCTAGCAGATGTCATAATGGCACTTGACAGTCTAACGGAGTCACTATTTTATGCAAAAAATGAAGAAGTCGAAGTTTTGAAAAATTATTTTGAAGACACTTGGATCGGGAGATTAACAAGATGCGTATGCCGCAACGACCCAGTGTTTTGAATTATACGGCGAATCGTTTACAGTTCCGTTATAGGTCATGAAACGAACAGGACTGTCGAAGGTTAGCATAGAGGATTTAATAAACTCATTGACACTGCTCATCGAAACAAACGGGAATTCATTAATGCTGTAAAATGAGGAACACAAGTTAAGTGAATAGAAAACCGAACAACTCGTTGTCGGGACCCGGTAATAACATGTATGAAGGAAGTACAGGGACATATCAATGCGTATTAAACAGGTCCTAAGAGATCATGTAAACAGATCAATCCTAGACTATTAACACGAAATAGCACATAATCTGTTTTCGTATATCTGGACGTTAAACTGTGTCATTATAAAAACAAGAAAATGTAACATCTACATAATGTTTATAAATCTTTTGATTATCTTTCTTGATCTTCTGTACTTAGTCAGTTTTTGTATAAATGGCATTGATTTGCTGTATTTTTAACTCGCCCATATTGATATGTGCCTTTTTACTCCTACCCTTATAGGAGCAAACTGTCATAATAGTCTTAGATGATACAGTTCATAATCAGTCGCAATACCAAACATGCATTCGTCTTCTTGTTGTTGGTTTTGAAAGTTTTATCAATTCATTTGCTTCTAGATCTTACTTCATGTTTGTTTTCAATATCTTTCCATTTTCGTTTACTTTCTTTTTCCCTTATAAAGTGCAACTACGTAAACCTACACACCTTTATGGGATTCTCTATTTTCTAGAATATATAAAGTAAAATAATAGTTTATATCTTCAAATGTAGAAAGTCTATTGTGATCATAACTTCATGTTCTTTCAAATCGTAGAATTAAATGCTTGTTATTATTTTATCTAGAATTACCAGTTAATGAAATTTATGCCGCGAAACCAATCATTTACACCAATATTTCTTGTCCGAACTCATGCGACAAAATACTTTTATAAAGTGAATTTTATCGGTATATTTGAATTCATTTATCACTGTATAATCGCGTATTTCTTTTCAATTTTCTTTATAACCAAAATTTTGAAGCATCTTAGAAGTATTCACGCATCCCCTTGATTGTGGTTCTTTTAACGAATTGAGTTGATTTCCAAACTTAATTTTTATACTTCACAAAATAAATAGCCTTTCAGTTTGTGTGAAAAATTAGTTTATCGGTATTAAAATATTTTATTACCATACCGAAATCTTCTTGAAATATTTATTAACAGTAATGTTCGAGGATTCTATCTCCTGAAAATATTCCAATTCATAGGTGGACGTTTTACAGTTACTTGTCTGTTATTTACCCCTATTTAGCATTCGCTCGTAAAATAACTAGTTTTTTTAGAATTTGTATGGAAATCTAGTCTTCGAAATTATTCTACCGAAAGCTCTAGGATTGGAATATGATAATTTTACCTTTTCTGATGTGTACAGCTTTCTTAACTAAATAATTAAGGTCAATGGAGGTACATGTGTTTTACATTACTGTCTAACTAGGGTTAGTGTTTTTAGTTCTCGATGAACCAGTTAATGCTAGGATAATGCTTGTTTTGGACTGCTTAGCAAAAAAATATCATAATTTTTTGTTCAACATTTTATCTCTACCGTTTGATAATGTAATTATTTTCGAACTTTGTCTTGTATATATGATTTGCAGGATATTCTAAAATTTAATTGTGAAGGTATTTTTCCCATCAGTTCTATGACTGGTGCAGGAGCATGGGAGGAGTCACCTGAGGTGGCAAACTCAAATTTATTAGAATCTACATCAATAAATCGAAATGAAACTGCATTAGAAAAAATAAGTTCACCACGCTTGTGTGTGATTGGAAACTTACCATTCAATATTTCTACTCCTTTGATTTCTCAATGGCTTCATGATATTGCTGAGCGACGAGGAATTTGGCGATATGGACGAGTCCCTTTGACATTGACTTTTCAAAAAGAAGTTGCTGAACGACTTGCTGCGGATGTATGGGATGAACAGCGTTCCCGCTTATCTGTCATGTCACAAGCATACTGCGACGTAAGGATTTTATTTATATAAAGGTTTTCGTCTACTGTTTTTGTCCTAATCTTGTTCCGTCATTAGTTATATACAAAGAAATTAAAGATATCTAATGCGTAATAATCCTAAAGCTGACAGATAAGTGTTTGATGATTATTGAGTGTCAGTATGAATTCATTTTTCGCCTGTAATTTTTTTTGATGTGTTGTGGAATTGTGTTCGGTTAACGACTAGATTGCGTGAGTGCTGCCTAGTGTGTATATAGTGATTTATCTGGACACTTGACTTTCAATTGGCTTGGTAACAGGTTTTAACCTTATTCCTTCATACTGAGATTTTGAACAATCAAGTGATGTCACTACTTATAACTCAGTAGGACTCAATAGTCTGAAATAAAAACATATAGAACGTTGTTTAGTCATATATTTCATTGTTTTTGTGCAGTTCTATAGTTGTAATTATTTGATTTACCGTTCGTAGTTTCTTATTTTCAGGACAGTTTTATTAATTATCCCCAAAGTAAGAATGGCCATTTTTGTTTGATGGTTCAAAATTGCATTGTTTTCATGTATTATAATATGCTCATTTTTAATCTTTGAAATGTAATAGGTTAAATACATGAAGGATATTCCAGGTACTGCTTTTGTTCCTCCACCAAAAGTAGATGTTGGTGTTGTTCGTCTAATTCCTTTAAAACAACCGCTTATTCCTGTGCCGTACCCGTATGTTGAAAAATTGGTACGTCAAGCATTTCACTTTAGGTAAGGATCACATATTTCCTTGTTATGTTACAGTTTATTGAAATTTGTTCTTCCGGAGTAATGGTGCATATATAGTAATCCAACTTTTCTGTACACGTTTACTAACTACAATGTAATATAATCTGTTGTTAAAGTGTTTACCGAAAGAAATTAAAACTCAGAGATAAATGATCGTTATGTCTATTCCCTGCGGTGCCGGTATTTATCAGCATTGATTTTCACTACTTTCAGCCACTATAATTTCTTTGATCAGAAGCAATAAATTGTAGTTTTTTCCGAACTTCTCACGGTTTCTTATTTGATTGATCTATTGTAACCCATTTACGAAGTATAACTATACACAGCTGCGAATCATCATCTTCAAATAAACACTAAACTAACAATTTTTTCGATTACATTTATCTTTAACTCCAGCGCACCATTTCATAGACTGATCATTTCTCTACCTTTTCCATCCAGTCATAGCGTCACTAATACACAATATAGTGGAAATGACGTATAGAGTACTGTGAGCAAAAGTTATTGTTCCTGTTGTTCTGTTTATAGTTACACCATAAAATAACTACTCGTTTTCTTGTCTGATCGTAATACGTACACTGTCCATCTTAATTACTTCGTAATATATATTTATTAAATGCATGCTTAGTTTTTTAAGAAAAATAAAAGTAATTAGAATATCAAGTTTAACGTATAATTCTTGTTGTTGAGAAAGGTTCATAGGATGAATACTTCGAAAATTGTTGTCAATTACATTATGTATATCACTACTTAATAGAGTGAAATATGTATTTTCTAACCAACTTCACTCTAATAGTCAGAATGAGGATGAATACTAGTTAAGCCTATAATATAATATAATATAATTATTATAGATTAGGTAGTAATTTCAATTTCAAAACACTTATTTTCCATGTAGACAAAAGCAAATAGTTCGATGTCTTGAAACATTGTTCCCTTCTAATAGACCTGAACTGGTTATTCAGTTATTCAAAGAAGCCGGTGTGCAACCAGCCAAACAGTGTATACAGGTTAGTTTGGTAGTTCTTTTATTTCATGTAGTTTGTGTATACATGTCCTTGGGTCTTAAGTGGCTTATATTTGTCATCCCACACTATCAAAACCTATCTCGATTACGGCAAGAAGGATGCTCTCTAACCTCTGCTTCCTGAATGATCTACCAATTATTACCGGTTTATTTTCAATACCTTTTGTTCATAAAGTTGCCAGCGATGGTCATAATTATAATAATATATTCAGCAATCAATCCTCTTATTTTTGCTCAAACCTCTAGGCGACCAGTCGATTTCTTTTTGTGGACTTTACTGACATCCAACTTTCACGAATTATATATATTCGATATCACTTACCACAGAAACGATTAATGAAAGTTTTGTGTTACTTTGATGATAGTATGTCAAGTTATGGAGCCTTGTAGTGAGTTTTCCTGAAATCAACATCAGTAATGAGCAGTTTCAGCTTAATTTCTTATGTTATGCCTAGTTCCTCTGAACTTTCACAATTGGTCCTCTTAGTGATAACTCCTCAAGCTATAATGATTTTTCTGGTGATGAATAATCGGTCATTTCAATATACACCACAATTTCGATTATGTATAGTCTATAGAAATGTAGTCTTGTGCATTCCTTGAGTAAGTTACTTGAGGGTCTAATGTGTATTTAGTTTTCAGAATATAAAATAATATTATTGTACCATCATGGAATGATTTTCAACTTTGAGGTTTCGATTTGAAAACATATTCCATCTCTACAGTAATTTATCATAAAGACACAAAAATCCTAACTGAGTTTATACAATATGGTGTTACACATGAACCATATCCTAAATAAATATTCTGTTTTTATTTCCTCCAAACAATTAATTTACAGTTGACAATGTCAGAATTTCGAGATTTATGCTCTGTATATCATCGTATTTGTCAGATTGAACCTGATGTATTCGATTTTGATTATCAAGCCCGAACTAATTTACCATTGTGGTATAGTCGTAAGAAAATTCAACGAGAAATGTTAGACAGTCCAACTGGTCTTACGGCCAATCGTGTTCGTCAAGAAATATATGGATTCAGTCAGTAATGGCTATACGCTTTTGTTATTATCATATTGTAATCGATTCTTTAATCAACAATTCATTTATATAACTTGTGAATAAATATACTTCCAATATTTTGAAGTAATTGAATATTTTTATGATGAGTCAATCATGCATACTTGATACGTAAATATGTGAATTGTTGTCTCTTGTTTATGAACTATTAATGAAGAATACTTTAAAGGAATTAAATTTATCAACTGTATATATGGCCAGTAAAAGCTTTCAGCAACGAACTTGTCGTTTATTGCTGTTGAGACATTGCTTTTCTCTTGAGTGTTTACTGAATCCACAGATTTGACAATGTATATGTAGATAGATGATTTATGTACTCGATGTTTTACTGTTTATTAGCACATTTAAATTCCTTTTTATCTACATTTGAGATTTAGGTAACCGTGTAGTATTTGTAGTCTTCAAAACCTACCAAACGGTCTGGTATTTCATTGTGTTATGAATTTCAGTTTCATAAAACATATTAGACTTAAAGAAAGTATTGATTAGTGTCCCAATCCTTCTGTATTAGTGTTGGACCATCCCATCTACCATTACCCATATTCAGTGATTATTTGGATCATGTCAAAGGCATTTCTATATCTTTTATGAAGGTGACAATTAGTATGTTTCTCATATTTTCTCATTAGATATTATCTAAATCATCACTGAGCACAACAGTGAGTAAAGTAGTTAGATGTAGTGTAAATCAGTTATATTTGAAACTTCTTGTTTCACGTAATTGTCGTTACTTAGTTGCAAAAGTCAACTGGAAACAATTAGTTTATTATTAAACCACTGGTTTATCGCTTTTAAAGATTACAATCCGGATACTAGTCAAGTTTAAATAGAAAAATGATATTATCTGGTCACGCGAACTGTACTGAGTAGAACGGAGTTCCAACCTATCTAGTATCTGTAAAGCGAGCACTAACTAACAGAAGCCACCACTTCATTGCATTGATCGTCGTAGAAACTGATTATATTAACAGACCGTTCACTACCAGTCAACATCCAACATAGCATCAAAAGTTTTATTACTCTGAAAATCTTACATCTACAGAGAAGCGTCATTCAATAATACTAGTTCGGTACAAACAATTGTAGTATCATACATCTAAAGTATTTGTTTGCTTTGGCTATTCGTCAGCATTTTGAAAGATTGCTTAGCATCATAAAGTTGTAGACTTCGACTTGATCATATTCTCATTTTAAGCCGTAAAAGATAGACTACATACAGTATATTCCATTTTCTTGTTCAACTTTTTATTCAAAATTGTAATAAAAATATAATTTTCTCAATATTTCTTTTATATGTAGCTATTTTCAAGAGTAGTTAATTCAGCAATGAAGTTCATTTTGAAAACTGTACAATAATGTCATATATGTATTATGCTGTAAATAATAGATTTTAAACATGATTCTTTTGTTTATCATATAATGAACTAGAGTCAAATAACTGATTATATATAGTCTTTTAGTTAAGTTCACAATTCAATTTTAAATTAGTTTAACGTTTAACCAATTTAGTGAAACCGATTTTATGATGATGTCAAACAAGTGAGTAATTCTTTTTCTGATATTGTGTAAATAAATATACATGTGTTTATTGCTTCAAATACATTCGAAGACAAGAGGAATACTGTCGTTTCTCCTGTATGGTTATGCAATGTTTATTGCTATTTCTATAACTATGCTGAATCACGTAATAAACTTTTTATTCTTGAGGTAATGATGAATAAGTTAAGGTATAATTAGGATTTAAATAAATATTCTGTTCACTAGGTAGTTTTTTCGATGGATTGTTATTATAATAATTATCATTAGTTTGAAGTGATTCAAAGACTATTTCGTGCAAGGAATTGCGCGGGTATTGGTTTTCAACTAGATATTGATTATAGTCATTTCTGTCGAAATACAATGATTGGTTAGTTGTTATTTGACTGAAGCCCATGTTAGCCCATTCATTTTCTGTACATATGATGGTATTGTATTTCTCTGGATAAATAATGGTAAAATGCATAGAGGTAGTTTAATATATTAATAATAACAATAGAGCAACTATATCTAATCCAATAACTTACAATTAATTATCAAAATACAGTGATACCTAATGAGAGGCTGGGTATTTCAGTGCTTAGTGAAAATAATTAAGTGGCTAACATGTCTTTTTCCATCAGCAGTTTATTGAAAGGGGAGAATTTATTGACTGAAATTCAGTTCGTTTATTCGTAGGTTAATTGAATTCGATTCCCAGTTGTGCAGTCGTAGAGAAGCACTTCTGAGGTGTCCCATACTATAACAAAACGGTGATTTAGTGCCCTACAACTTTTTAAAGGTTGTCTAACTTACATTGGTTCTTGATCTCAATATTTTACCCTTTGTTAAGTCGGGACAATAATTTGTGCTTCGAAGCAAAATGTTATTCTACAATATTAAAACAGCTGGTCGAAAGATTGGTTTTCCATACTTTTTTATTAGTTTTTCGTAATTAGTACCATATTTATATCTCACTATAATTTTCACGAACTGGCATAAGCTAGTTCGTCCAAATTTGAGGGCGTTTGGCTGAAAACCTTTAGGTCCCTCAGAGAGTACGATAACCTTTAGTAAGTATGATAATCAAGTAAGTGGTGAATACTGCATGATGTAATCAGCAAAGATTTATCTACTCATCTATCTCTTAATAATTTCATACTATACATAAAATGAGTAAGGCCACTGAACCAATAAGTGCTTTATAAAACATTTATCGATCCCAACGGATTAATTTTGAAATGACGAAACACTGAGTCGGCGTGTCTAAAAATTCAAAGCCACTAAACAATCTGTGATTATTTATCATTGCTTTCTGCAACAAGAACTCTCTGGTTCAGGGAAATTACGCTACTGAAAATCCTTCGTCTAGGTTGGAGTTCTTGTTTCTGAAACTAAAATAACTTCCTATGAGTAGAAGTTTATTTCTTATTGTTATCGATATCGTTGCAAACCTTGTGGTTGGTTAGTTTCAAAGTGCTATGAATTTTTACCGTTAGATAAACCATTTATAAATTTCGAAAAGGTAGTACACTGATTGATTGCCATCAAATTTTGTTAGTTATAATTTTTCACAGCCATTTGATCGAGTGTCTTAATTAGTGAGTAGTCACAAGTGCTAAAGTTATGCCTCCGTACTAGTCCTTTTAATTTCATGAGAAAAAGTCTATACCTACTTTACTGTTGGAATTATGTCAATATTAATTGTTTCTACAACACAGTAACCATATCCAGGCTCGTTTTCTTTGAATACACTCTGGCAAAGTGAAGTTTTTAGCCTGTGACTAAATTTGTGTAAATCGAAGGTTTAAGCCATCAGGTCACTTTTGCTTTTGTCAACCAAATAATTATTGTCTTTCAAATCTTTAGTGTTATCGTCCATGTAGAAGACACGCTTTGTTTTTGTTTCCAACTTGAATCTAGTAATAACCCTATTGTTAACTCACAGATCTATTGAATAAACGACTTGATGTCAAAGCTGACTGAATCCTAATTTGTTTATGGTCATCGGATACTGACAGTTACAGTAGTTCTGATTTGCCTCACAACACTGATTTAGTCAAAACGCTATCGACATTAAACAGGCAACAAAACTATTGAATGAACGAGGGTGAGGCTTTTAGTTTATAACCAGGTATTTTCTCAATTTTGTTCATTATTCAGGAAAATGTCAATATAATGTACGGACGGCTTCATCCGGAGTTTAATTCTCATGATTGAAAGTTGGAGACCTGTTAAAACCTGGTTAGCAATTAGAAGTTGTCATTCTTACTCGCTAATTTTCAACCACACTAACTTAAACCTACTACCCGTCGCGAGGGCATAGGGCACCGGCCTGGTGTTTCCAGCCAACTGTGTTCAGAGCTCTCGTTTGCAGTCTAGTCCTAGTGCTATTCATGATCTTGATCTCTGAGTCAAGTTCGCGGTACTATTTGTTCTTTGGTCCGCATCTTTTCCTTTTATCTAATAGTTTACACAGTGTGTGTTCTATTCAGTTCATGTTCTTTTCTAAACTCCTTGTACATAAATTTGTAGGCGAAAATGATTAGGTCTTTAATCGTATTGTTACAAGTGTACAGATTTGCAGGTCTCTCACCATTCTCGTTTTTCTCGGTCCATATCTCTCCATAATGCGTTCATATTCGGTATTGTTCGTCTCGACTTTGGGGTTCAGGTCTTCATCAGGATGATAAGGTCCTTTCTTAAGTATTACTTTAGGATGAACTGTGAACTCATATAAAACAGAACTTTATCGTTTCCACTGCTATCATTGGTGAGCGCATAGCACTGAATGACATCCGTCGTTTTGAAGGATGCTTTGGTCATTCTGGATTCATGAGATCTCCATTTTGTAAGTGCTTTTCGTGCTTCTTTGGGCAGCATCAATGGGACTCCTTGTGTGTACAAGGCGATTTCCTCTTCAAGATCAAATTACAACGGCACTTTTTCCGAATCTAGTCCTTTCTGTCCAGCTTATGTCCAATGGGTTTCACTTATATCGAGCAACAATAGGTTGTATCTTTTAATTTACGAAGCTACTTGAGTGATCCTCTTGGTCTCTAACATTGTGAGAACATTCGATGTACCCATGTTAATTTTTGCTCTGGTTGTGAGATTAGGCATCGGCCTAATCAATTCTGAAGACTCTTGGATTTCACCATGAGTCATCATATCTCTTCTACATGAAGACCCTTCAACTCCCAGGGTAGAGTATAAATTATTTAAATAATTACTTCTGGTTAATGCCTTCTTCAGCAAATTTACTTTTTACGGGATGCGGTTGTTGACTTCATGCACAACTCCCTGCTTTACCTTAGAGAGTACCAAGCAGGTTTATTTTCATCCATAGCAGTTATGAAATCCGCTTCAGATAAAACCAGAACTATAATTCCTGGAGTTGAACACTAAGTTTTTCAAGATTTGTCAGAATCCGGTTTGCTATAGCATATAACGACTGAATAATTTCATTTGTTAAAATTTGTTTTCTAACAAACTATTTTTTTAGAAAAGCAATAACGTGAAGACTACTTATATCAAAAATTAGTTACTTTACCACCAGCTTAATATTATATATTTTGGACTGGAGTTTATATTGTTATTCAAAATAGATTATTCACAATACAGCATGAAATAATTTCGATATCAGTTCAGTAACTTACCTTTATTAGTTAATTTTTCAGCTACACAGTGAATTTTCGATATTTGATTATCATTAGAAGACATTGTTTCTTTTATAATATTCGATTTCAATTTCAACTTGGGATACTTCCATACAGTACATGCTATACACAAAAATACAATGGATAGAATTAAACTTATACCAATTGCTCCTGTGATAGTATATATGTAAATCAGTGAATATTTATTATTATTTGTCTGTGATGATATCCATTCCAACTGTGATGATTCAGTGTTATCCATTAAATGTAAACAAAAGTAACGTGTTGAATGTAATGACGAAATGCCCATATCTGAAGCTACAACACACAGACGACATGTTACATTTGACAAATGATTTGGTAATTGCTTTGATAGAAATAAACTACCAGTAGTTTGATTTAAATAAAGATATTCTAATAGATTACATGATTGATTTTGGTCCATTATTGATTTACGATTTAAGTTTTTACAAGTTGACGAACTTCCATTTCCAGTGTCTGGATTCTCTTGAATTGATTCAATTAAAGAGTATTTGATTTCAGAATTTAAGCCTTCATCTGGATCATTGGCTTTAAACTAAAAAAGACAGAAGAAGGAAACAATTTACAATGTAGTTTTGTAATTACAAAATATTCTGGATTTTATACACACTATGTATAACTAATTGACTGATTAAAAATTTAAGTTTTTCGGTCCTTGTTGTTTTGGTCTTACCTACTTACTAAATTGCTTACTAATTTCGCCTGTTATCCCTCCCGGAACATAAGCCACTGAATAGGATTCTTTTCAATCAACTCTGTCTTAGGCCCACCTTCCCAGTTGTTTGCAAGTCCTACTCATTCTTTTGATTTATTTTTCAGATTCCTGGTGCAATGTGTTCTTTGGTTTTAGTACTTTTCAGATATATTAAACTCTAACATTTACAACCATATTGAGAAACCTTTAATTCTATCAATCAAACGTTATCATGAGTTCAATCAAAATTTCGTAGTTATGTTATACTAGATAACAAAATAGTTATAAAAAAAGTTGGTCTATAATCGCAGATAGGACAGTGAATATTAAGTAACAGATATTATATTTCTAAATTAAACGAGAGCAGTCCTTTTAAGAAAAAAGTAAAGTCATTTTTTTAACTCCTTTA